CACCTGCCTGGAAAGAGCAAGGTCCGCAAAGTCCATCCCCAGCAACAAAAAAAAAAAAAAAAAAAAAAAAAACCAAACAAAAAAAAAATGTCATTTACCAAAAGCAAATGGTAAGTTCCTAGTACCAAGGGCATCAAATATCTGGGTCTTTATCAGGTGGAAAAAAACATTAAGTACTCAATACAAGGACAACTCAGCAATCAAGGATCAGTAAGAAACTTTTATAGAAACAGAAAGGAAGGTATTGCTGAAAGTCCCATCAACTTAATCATACTGTTTTATTTTAGGCTAGAAATTCGACTTCCAAGGATCTATCTTAAGGAAACAGATGTGATAAAAAATGTACACAAATAGATATGATAAAAAATGCACAAAAAAGATGAACATTGCAAGATTTTTAAAAAATTATCAAACATCAGCAACCAAATTGTTTAACATTAAGAAATATTCGAACAAAGCATGACACATGTGCTGAAGGGACTATTACTAAGCCATGCTTTTAATGCATTTTAGTATTTAAACAAAATACTCTTAAAATCCATGGAAAGTGGTGAGAAGAAACAGATAGAACTGTATAATATGGTATCAGATAAGTCTATGACCAGGAAAAATAATCAAAGCCAAGTGCTAACAGTGGTTATTATTGAATAGAAAGACTGCTATCAATAGTTTCTTTGTCAGTTTCCTTTTTATGGTACTGGAGATTGAATCCAGGGAGCACTGAGCTATAACCCCAGCCCTTTAAAAATTTTATTTTGAGACAGGTCTCACTAAATTGCCCAGGCTGATCTCTAACTTGCAAACCTTCTGCCTCAGCTTTCCGAGTAGCTGAGATTATGAGGGCACACTTTTAACACCTGGCAACAATACTTTTTAATACTTTTATTTACTATAATAACTAGAATGTTTTAAAAATCTTGCAGTTTACTAAAGTCTATAGTTATTATATATCCTTATGGGAAAGTCTTGAATTGTTAATAATAAAAAATTATCATATTTTAAAGTAAATACAAAGTCAGGCAGGGGATTTAGCTCAGTGGTGATGCCGCCTGCCTTGTTAGTGCAAGGTCCTGAGTTGGATCCCTGGCACCAAAAAAAGAGTAAGTAGAAAGTAACCTACATATAGAACAATAATGAGACAGCATACTTGGTACCACTAAGAACCTGGTATTTGGAAGGTTAAAAACAACATTCTCTATAGTGTCTGTGGAGTACAGGCGTAAGGATATTATGTCATAGTGTTAGATCACCTAGTGCCAACTCCCAGTTTACTAAAGTATCACCCATTACCTGTTGGGCAGCTGGATCCTCTTGATAGCATAATTGCAGTCATCTACTTTGTTTCTAGCTTCAAAGACAACTCCAAAGCCACCGCGACCCATGCACTGAATTGGTTCAAAATCTGTTAGGTATCTAAAAAAAAGGGGGGAAAATGTTTGTAAAAGGTTATAATAGTTTTATAATTTGGTTTAATCTTGTATTATTATACACACAATATATAAACTTAGCAAACTCACAGAACTTATTTTAGTGAAGACTATGTTTTGAATTCTATTCATTACATTCTTAGTTCTTGTTTGTATACATGATGCAAATCTTATAAATTTCCTTGGGAAAAATTAAAAATAAAAAAGTTTCGTTTAAGTGGGAATTACTTATTAATCATCGGTTGCTACAGTAACTACATTACCAGTTTATTCTATCCAATACTTTCTATTACCTATGAAAATGTCATATTTTTAAGTCTTGTTTTTGTTTTTTTTGGTACCAGGGATCGAACTCAGGACTTTGCACTTGCCAGGCAGGTAGTGGAACCACTGAGCTAAATCCCTGGCCCCCCTAGCCCATATTCTTAATTCTTCTTCTTTTTTTTTTTTTGGTACCAGGGATCAAACTCAGGACCTTTTACTTTTTACAACCTTTTACTTTTTATGGCAATTTGTACTCAATTAAAAATGTAGTCTTATTTCACTACTTGTAAATTTTATGGAAAAATGTAATCACTTCTATTATATTTAAGAACTGTTTTAGCCAGAAGTCCTTCTAGGAAGTGAAGCTGATGCTGGAAGGGTTGATTCCTGAGTCAGTTGGTCACCACTGAAGATATGCGCACAGTGCAGCCTGTTCCTCCCCTGGTGCCACTTCACTGCCCTGGACTGCAGACTCCAGGCTGTGTGCAGCCCATTTAACACCCCAGGGTGTTCTCTCCTTCCCACACCTCTACTCCGATGGTCTTTGCAGTTACCAAAACCCTATTCTTTCCTTATTCTGTTCACCTCCACACCTCTGTAAAGCTTTCTGGACCCAAGTCTTAAGGTTTCTGTAGCACTGTGAGCATAGAACTTTGAACAATTTAGCCTTAATCTCAGTGTTTTGAAATTATTTGTATGCAGTGTGCTTGTCCCACCACCACCATACTTAAAGGACCCTTAAATACTTTTGTTTCTCTTTATGTTCCCAGAACCTGCCAGATCAGAGGTCTAACAAATGTCTGTCACCATGGGTGAATTAATAAATGCATGCATTTGTGGAAATTATTCCAACTGCATGAGAGAGCTGCATTAGATGTTCTGTGGAATCCCTTAAAAGGGCAAGTTTATTACTTTATGACTTGCACACTCACACTAATTTAGTAGTTGCCTCAGCTGGTCAGAGTGTGGAGTTAAGAAGGAGAAACAACAAACTCCAACCCTCCACGGGCCAATTACCTTCACTGGGAATGAAGAGTAACAATCTGTATTCCTAAAAATAGCTAGTCACTGTACCTTAGTACAAATCCATCTCCTTAAATGCGAAAGATCACACATTTCATATCCTACTCCTGGAGGGCAAATGAATTTTCTTCCTGCATCATACTTTGTAAAAAGAGTAACAGCTGATACTGACCTTATTCACACAAGCACCAGCTCTGCTCAAGTCCCAGCTGACAAATGACAAAATTGAGGTCTGCATTCAGGATTGAACCCAGAGTTCACACTTTTAATAGTGCCCAGGATGTACCAGGGACATGTAAATATCAGATAGTATTTTTATAGAACTCTCATATTAAAAACAATAGCTCACTTCTCATATTAAAGTTAAAGCAAAGTTGATTTACGCTTAGTTCCATTTTAGAGTACAGTATTCTAATTCTCTTGACATCAGCCTTGCAAATTCACCTTTATTCTTGATCCTTCTTCCTCCTCCAGTCTCCAGCTGCCTAACACTTACAAATATGATCGCCTTTACAATGCCCTCTTGAATCCTCACAACTAGACGTACTGCTTAGTTCACGGCTTTTCTCCCTTGTGTTTGTTTTTCTTGGTATCATACCTCCTCATAGACTTTAAGCCTCCCCAGGACAGGCTCCGTCTTTGTCTCTCCAAAGCTTCAGATACCATCCTGCACTGAGCAGTTCAGAGTATGTGCTGAACAATGACCCGCCTCAGTGGGGGGGCTAGCTGATGGGAGTCCTTGGTCCCCTGTCCTTCTGGCTCAGCGTCTGCTGAGGTTGACAGCCATGGAGGCAAGAGTACAAAAGCAGCCCTCACCATTTGTTTGTCACCTAGTAAATTCTGCTGTGTTCATAAAATTCACTAGTTTTACCTGTTCCTGTCATCGTGAAGCAACTGGCTTGAAGAGAGTCCTAGCTAATCCACACATCTACCAATTACTTTCACTATTTTCTAATCATAAAACTAACATCTTTGACATTAAGCAGCAAAGGCCAATGACTTTTCCTTGCCCTTGTATCACTGCAGCAATAAGTATGCTATTAAAACAAAAAAGTAGAGCTACAATCTATGAAGTATGAAAAATAAAGTATAGCACAATTTCCTCTGCCACACAGCATCAAAGGTGATATTTTATACTTGAGTGTAACAGTTTCTCTACTTTTATTTCCAAATTACTTGAACTGCCTGCTTTTAGCTAACCCATCTCTCTTCTGCTTTTAAGTATCATTTGTTCTATTAGTGCCCCTCCCCATTTATCTCCTATTCCACACAGAAAAGATAAAATAAACAGTATTAAGGAACATACTGTACTGAGTAAATATATAATTATTATTTGATACTATTAAAGACAACTCTAGTACATGGTATATCTTAAATCATTAAGTTAAATAAGAACTTTTTGATGGTTGAAATTCTAAACTCTTCTATTTTATTTTCATCCCTCTTAGGGCACATACCAACCTTATTAAATTTAAGTTACCTGAGGTGTAAGGTTGTTTTATTTACATAGATGTTCATATATTTAAAGAAGATCTTTGTTTTTTGGTTTTTTTTTTTTGTGGTACCGGGGATCAAACTCAGGACCTTGTGCTTGTGAGGCAGGCAGTGGAACCACTGAGCTAAATCCCCGGCCCCGAAGATCTTAGTTTTACCAGTCACTTATTTGATGCAAATGGCCGCTCTCAGAATCTATAATATTTCATGAGACTCTTACCGTGAGATATATCCAGAACTTTTGATGTCATTCCAGCTACTGTCACTAGTTTCAGCTCTTACAGAATCATATTTATTTTCAGTTTGACACTGAGTTTCAGATTCCTTCCTTTGCTGATAAAGTACAAAACAAAATCATTACCAGTACAAGGTTGAATTAAAGTTAGCTAACAATCTTTGGATAAAGCACTGAAAAATACAGTATTAAGAAAAATAAAAGCATTATAGAACCAAAACACAGAGAATTCCTTTTTATTACATATAACAAAAAGTTTATCTTCCCACTGCTATTCTTTTAATCTTAGGATTCTATTATGTGGGTATGTCATATGTACAGACTAAGCCAATAAATAAATAAATAAATGAATAAATAGCTAGCCAGAAAGAGAAAGCCTGTATGTGTGGATGAATTCAGACTTTTAGGCAAAATTAGTAATTTTTCCCCAACCAACTCTGTAGATACTTTAAAAATGCTTCAATGTCTGGATCTGGCAATGTCTCATTTGCACTGCTTCTTCACCTGTATCTTCAGAAGGTTTTCCAGAGGATGCCAGTAATTACTCTGGTCACAGAGAGTACTGCGGTTCATGTGTTCATTCACTGACTCTTTCAACAAAACTTCACAGCTCTGATTCCGTGCCAGGCACCGTGTAAGAACTGGGGAGACGGAGGTAAACTCACACATTGGCCTCTGTGCTTACAAGTGTACAGTGTAGAGGCAAAGAAGAGAAATCAGTTTCCTATGAACTACGTTAGTAAGGAGAGGGCAGGACATTCTGACGAAGATGAGGAGGATAAGGAAGATTTCCCAGCGGACACAAGGACTAATTTCAAACTTAGACACACAGGAGATAATCATGTGAGAGGGAAGGAAGAAGAGTTAGGGAACAAAGTTCAAGGCAAAGTCAGAGGAAGGAGCACTATCAGGCTCCTTTAAGGAGAGTGTGGCCTAAACTGGGCGTGGGGACACAGGCCTAAAATCCCAGCACTTGGGAGGCTGAGGCAAGAAGACTGCCATGAGTTTGAGGCCAGTCTGGAATACAGCGTGAGATGTGTCAAAACATCAAAAAGGGGTGGGGGGGAAGCACGTGACCTACATGAGGGTCTGAAAGATGTTCAGCATGGTGGCTGAGCACCAACAAGAGGGGAGGAAGAGGCAGGAACGAGTGAAGGTGAGTAATGAGATGGGGCACAGCTCGTTCAGAACCATGCACATTTGAAGGATGGATTCTATCCTAAAAATAACAAGAAAACAAACAAACAGTGAGAGCTGGTTATTAGAGGTGTTTAAGCCAGGACACGCAGCTCTAGTTAGTTAGGTATGGACACGGAGACCAGCTGGAAGCAATGTAGTAACTCAGGAGAGATCTGGTGGCATTTGTACTGCGAAACAGAAAGTGGAAAATGGGGAAGACAGAGGTAGGAGAATCTGACAGGATGGGTGACTGGTGAGGGAGACCAAGGACTGTGGCTCTGGTGACTGAGTCTGGCAGTGCCTCTCCTGAGAAAGAGGCCACAGGACATGCTAGGGATGGAAACGGGGAGAGGAACAGTCTGAGTTACGGCTCCTCTGAGGTACACAGACAGCTCCTACCAACTGGTGTGGGGAAAAGGATTTGGAAACATAATGTGACTGAAGCTGGGAAAGTAGGGAGAAGGTCCAGAAAGTCCATAGAATGAACAGGAAGAGTGAGCCTTGCCATCTGTTGTGACCACAGGAAGCTGAGGAGGATGAGGTCCTGAGGGATCCACATAACACTCAAGGAGACAGGAGAGCCTCAAGGAGACAGGGAGCCAAGAAGACAGGCAGCAAAGGTCCAAGAGAGGTTTGACAGTGTCACACACAGAGGGGCTCAGTTAGGAAAGAGCTGGAAGATGACCATTACATTTTACAGGAAGATCATACAACACTTGGGCAGGAACAGCTCCAGTGGAGTGGTGGGGAGAGATGCCAGTTGGCAACGGACTGAGGGGTGACCAGGAGGTGAGCAGGTGGAAATGGGAGTACAGTCATCCTCACATAATAATGTTTCAGTCATCAACAGCCCACATACACAAATGTGGTCCTGTAAGATTATAATGGAGCTAGCTGGTCATTGGAGAGATGCAAGTGAAAACAACACTGAGATTCCTCTTCACCCCAGAAAGAATGGCTGCTATCATGAAATCAACTAATGACAAATGCTGGCAGGGCTGTGGGCAAAGAGGAACCCTGCTCTACTGCCGGCGGGAGTGTAGACTGGTGCAACCACTGTGGAAATCAGTATGGAGATACCTCAGAGAACTAGGATTGCAAGTCCCATTTGACACTGCTATTCCCCCTACTGGGTATCTTTCCCAAAGAATTAAAAGAATCATACCACAATGATATATGTGCACCCATGTTCATAGCAGCATAATTCGTGATAGCTAAAATTTGGAAGCAGCCCAACTGCCCATCAGCAGGAGACTGGATAGAGAAAACGTGTTTTTTAAAATAAAATGGAGTACTACTCAGTCATAAAGAATGGGAATCTTTATAGCTAAATGGACATTTATAGCTAAATGGATGCACATTGAGGTGATATCCTAAAGTGAAATAAACAGGACACATGTGCAAATACTGAATAGTTTCTCTAGTGAGAAACTGAAAGTGTAAATAAGAACTGAAAGGAATAATAGATAATTTGAAATAGGAAGAAAAAGTGCAAAGCAGAACTGTGTTTCCTGAAATTGAAGAATAAATTCCAAGGAAAACAGAGGTTAAGTGGGAAAGATTTATTGAGGGGGTGATGCTCTCAAGAATGGAGATAGAGAGGAGTGGAGGGGTTGAAGGGAGGGCAGGGGAAAGGGGAAAAATAAGAACCAAGATGGATTACGTAGAGGTGCAAATTTCCGATGATGAATGTCACTACTCTGTATACCTTAAATGTACCAAAAAATTAATTAATTTAAAAAATTATAATAGAGCTGAAAAATACCTATGGCCCAGGATTTTAACTGTGCTTTTCTATGCTTAGATATACAAATACAATGGTGCTGCAACTGCCAACCGTTAACATGTTGTACAGGTTGATACGTGCAAGAGCACAGGCTATCACACAGCCTAAGTGTGCGGTGTGCTAGACCGTCCAGATTTATGAAGCGCCTTCTGTGAACCCTGTGCAGTCTTGATACTGCTTAATGATGCTGCTCAGAATGTATCCCCATCAGTAAGCGGCGCATGACTGTTTAAGTAGCAATGACTTCATGGTAAAACCTAAGGTTTTACATTTACCCCACCCCCACAACATGTAATAACTCTTGTATACCTGCAAGATTCTGAAAAACACTGGATTTTTAAAATGTCTTACTCTGTGAGGCTGAGGATGGAAAAGTCTGCGCACAATGAAAGTTGTTGCGACGATACAAAACAAAATGGTTCCAACTATTTCTTTCCACCAGTGTAAGAGGAGAACGGGATCCTTTTTGCGGAGGCTCTTGTAACTTGGGTTGTCAAAGAATCTGACTGTGATCTGTGTGCTCCGTTTGTTCCTTTCTCTCTTGTAGTATGGTAGATAATAACCGTTATCTTCAAAAACAAACATGAAAAGGGCTTGCTTTTTATTTTAAGATAAGCTAAAATAGGACCATTTTTATAGGTTAAAATTATCTATTTTCCTAAGACTTATAACGATAATTCCTTATTTCTCTTTTTTAACGCATATCAGGCAGCTTCCTTTGCCTTTTTCTTAAATATAGACATTTTCCTTCATACCACAGCATCTTAAATTTTCTTTATACAGTATATTCGTTAATAAAGAGAAGTCTGGTTTTGTTTTGGTACCAGGGATCGAACTCAGGACCTTGTGCTTGCGAGGCAGTCGGTGGCACCACTGAGCTAAATCCCTGGCCCAGTGTATAAAACTAGAAAAAAATGAAAAGCCAACTCATTCATTCCCTCATTAATAATTAATTCACTCTTTTAAATACAGAATGAGTACTCAAATGTCCTTTAAGACAATGTAAGCTTTCCTTTCACTTGGGATCAATAAAATACCAAGTTTTATCACGAATCTTTCTTTACAGCTGCAGGAAAAAAATCCTCATCACACTCTTGGATGTATTTTAGGCTGTCAAAATGAGTTTGTTTCAGAAATCAGCCTTGTTTTGTCTATTTTGTCCTATGCATGGACAGACTACACAATTCTTTCCTACTTTCACTTCTGATCAACTGCTGATAACACCTGCTATTTCTAATTTACAGCCTTCTGTGTGTCTATATATTTTAATCAATTTAGATTCTAAATAATTTTCTACTACTAGCATCTAGGGTAACTGAGGAGGAGTTTATTTTTTGTCTGATGTAGATCTGAAGACTTTTTAAATATCCAGAGCTTTTAGCAAGAACTAATCTTTATTGACACTGTGTGCAGGGGCACAATGCTAATTGAGACTTTACATGCATTCCTCAGAACTCAGAAGAACCCAGTGAATACATACTAGGAAGACCATCCTTGTTTCACAAATAAAGGAACTAAAACAGGAAGGGAGGGGCGCTCAACCCAGTATGTGGTAAAACTGGGACCTAAACTCTGGCAATCTGATTTTGGAGCTTCTATGTCTAGCCAACACTCCTGAAATGTTTTTCTATGTTCTAATCAATTTCCTTTCATTTAAATTCTGATCATTAATTTCAAATAATTGAATAAGACAAACAAAACTCAGTATTTTCTTTTGGGTTTTTTTTTTTTTTTTTGAGATGGGGTCTCATTATGAATCCTTGACCTCACAATCCTCCTGCCTCAGCCACCGAAGGCTGGGATTTCAGGAATATAATACCATGCCTGGCCCAGAACTCAGCATATTCAACGCAGGAGTGATCACACTTACCATATGGATACTGTAAGATTGAAAGTGCCCCATTGCTGTATTCTTCATGAGAAAACTTATCATTACTAAGACATTTGTCAAATTCATCAGATCCTACCAAGACCGGAGTTCTGGAAGGAGAATCTAAAACACAATGATAAAGTATTAACTGTCATGACTTAATGAAAATGCACATGTTCATTCACTGAACAAACTGATGTTCAACCACAGATCAATGCAATGATATAAGTCAAACAAATGGCCCAAGGTTCCTGCCCTTGAAAAGTTTAGTCTTAAACAGAACTGGTGTCATTTATAGACACAACTAAAATATAATGTGACATGTAGTTAAAAAAATACAAAAGATATGTAAAGATATTTAAGGAAGGGAGGTCACATGAGTCAAAGTATATGATGTAATGACTGGCTAATTTTTTTTACCTAGATGTACTTAAATAAGTATGTTAAGAGACAAATGTTACTTTTCCATGGTCAGTGATGGTTGAGTTTTTCTAAGTTGCACAGAGAAATAGTTTACTAACATTTATTTCTATGAAGTAACTGTTTTTTCTAAGAATGAATGCTGTAAATGATAAATTAAAATTTATTAACATCTGAAAGGGGCCGGGGATTTAGCTTGTTGGAGCTGTGCCTGCTTCATAAGCACAAGGTTTGAAGTCAATCCCCAGTACTGCAAAAAAAAAAAAAAAATCTGAAATACCTTCTCAAAATTATTGATAAGGTATAAGACATAGGCCAGGGATTTAGCTCAGTAGTTCGGTGGCCTGCCTTGCAAGAGCAAGGACCCAAGTTCAATCCACGGTACCAAAAAAAAAAAAAAAAAGATATAAGATATATAATTATTCTTATCTCTTCAATACTGAAAATTAGGGTAAAGACAATTAGGTTTCTAAACATTTCAGTAGTATTTATAAAATTTATTATTCACTTACGAATTAGGGGCTTCCATTTGATGGTTGGCAAAGGAATAATTGCATTTTCACTAGATTCCAAGGCCTTGGGGCTTGTAGGAAACTTTTCTGAAATTCTGATTGATGACTGAAGATACAGCTGGCCTCTATACATTCCTGAATCAATCAGAGTATTTTCAATCATGCAGTGATATTTTTAAAAGGTTCATTTTGATTTAATACATTAGATTAATTCTAGTCATTTGAGCATTACATAGCTCTTTTCAAAGAAGAAAGATGTCTGATACACTCAAATATGACTGGCTAATTGAGAAAAAAAAAACAACAAAAAAAGCAAAAAAAGCACAAACAGGCCAATACAATGTTTTTTACTGAATAATAGCATATTTTCAGTTATCACAGAAAAATTTTTTTGAGACACGGTCTTGCTATGTAGCCCAGGCTGGCCTTGTACTCATGGCGCTCTTCCTGCTTCAGCCTTCTGAATGCTGGGATTAGAGGCCTGTGCCACTACATCGGGCCAGGAAAGTTTTTTCAATAGAAAAATTCAAAAATTTAAGCCTTTGTACTCTCATAAAATAAACAGCATACTGAAGGTTTATCTAAACATCCATAATCCCAAGCTATGGTTAACAATTCAGTCATATACTATCACAGAGCACGTGTGACACTCTAAGTCTTCCTTGTCATTGGGAAGTACATGAGAAAGCTTACATAATTCTACGAGTACTTACTGACTCAAATTATATAATTCAAATAATTCAAAGATTTTAAACATTATAGTAAGTTTTTCAGTTGCCCAGGACACCAGAATTTTGTTTTTCAGATCTGTTGTACAGACTCACTGAAAAAAGGAAAAAACCTAATCTTTAAGAGGATAGCAAACTAACAGAGATATGAAAACAAATACAAATAAGAGACAGTTATAGATTTGGAGGGTATGTAAGTAATGTGCAGGTCATACTATACAATGAGAACATTCTAAGCCTTTCTAATAAAAGCCTCAATGAAAACAATATACCGTAATCATCAAAAATTTCAGCACTGTACTGTATACCTAAAAAGTACCAATAAAATTAATGAGAAAAAAAAATTTTCAGCACTAGACAAATGAAATAATAGTAGGAACAGAAACTTAAGGGAAACACAAATCAGAAATGTATCCAGGAATCATAAATACAATGGGCACTGCTGAAGTTGAAGGAATAATACAAGGATACACTTTAGATGTCATCGTGCACTTTCACTGGGTAAGAGAAATTTATTCACCCAAGTACACGCTCTTCTCTGTTGCTCCTCGGGCAGCTTCTACAATGTCTTCTTCATCTTCCAAAACTTCCTCAGTAGAACCATAACTTGTGTCATCAAAAAGACTGATGGGAATGACTTTTCCATCTCTAAGCAACCAGGCAGATGCAATTGGAGTACAAAACTAAACAAAAATGGAAAACAGATTTTAAATATAGTATTTATGTAGTTTCAACTCATAAAATACCAATTAAGGGAAGAGGAAATAAAAAAATTAAAAATAAAACTTAAAAATCACAAATCTCTTAAGGCATAAAGAATAAGTGAGGAATCTAACAAAAAAGCTATTTTCAGCCAGGTGTGGTGGTGCACCCTGTAATCCCAGCATTTAGGAAGCTCAGGCAGGAGGATCAGTGTGAGTTCGAGACCAGCCTGGGCTACATAGTGAGTTCCAGATCAGTCTCAACTACATAGTGAGGCCTTGTCTCAAAAAACAAACAAACAAACAAACAAAGCTATTTTCCTCCACCAATAAGTGTGGACAAACTGGGAGAGAAGGAAACATTTATAAGTTCTCAGTGGTCTTAAGTACCTGATATTCCCATTCCAGATGTCCTCCCTTCTTACTGAATGCCATAACCTTCCAGTCGGCGACTGAAACTTTTATGACTGTATCCAGCATGGCAGCTTCCTGTTCTTCCACATCTGAAATAATTTTCGATTCTTCTTTGTTTTCACTGGGCTTAAAGGTGCTTTCAATAAATCCAGCTCTAGTTTCCATGTCTGGAATATACCGAAGTTCAAAGTGTCCAACACTGAAATTCCACCTTAAATTTACAAAGGTTTGTTTTAGAAATTTACATTTAAACAAACGGACCAAACAGCACAGAACTCTCCTAGATTGCAGAAGCAAATATTAAAATTTTATGATAGAAAGTGTCAATTTAACTTTCTGGAAAGGAGTGCTCTGCTGATTCTCACCACAAGAGGGCCGAAGAGAACTGTCTTGGGCCTTCAAAAACTGGTTCTCAGAGTTGTGGATGAAAGCAGGTATGGGCAGGATTCTCTTGCAAAAATTAGTAAATGCTCACACTGACAAAAATGATTTTCTTTCTTTTTTCTTTTTTGGTACTGGGAATCAAACTCGGGTCCTTGTGCTTGTGAGGCAGGCAGCTGAACCACTGAGCTAAATTCCCAGTCCAAGAATGATTTTCTTAAAGTCACCTTTAAAACAAGCTGGCATGGAACCTGCTTATCTCAGTTATCCGGGCACATTTCATTTAAGTGCAAAAAAGTTAATTTATCCCAATAAACCAAAATAAAATGCCAGATGAATGCAACCACTGTAGATCTGTAAGAAAGCGCAGCCAGAAAAGGAAACGTGATCAGTAGCATCTCCCCAAAGGTCACAGCATTTCAGCTCCACTGTCAGATGTCTCCTGATGAGCAGTGGTGAGAATTTCCCCTTCCCTAATTTTCAGTGTCCCTGCCCATAAAGTAGCAGTAATGTTTCCTCTGTAATTAGTGAATAAAAAATGACTTCATTATTGACAGAGTAACATCTTATTGTAAAACAGAGAATTCTGACATCTATTGAAAAATACAAAGCATGGATCTTGGACTCCTTCATCCTTCCTACTGTGGTAACTCCAAATTCTGTTGCGTTATACTTCTGTTCCAATGGTGGCTGAGCTCCCAGTGAGCACTCAAGCTCTTAAGGAAACCAAATCCTTTCAGGACAAAGAAGGTCAGGCTTTCAACCCATACAAAGCCCTTCCCAGAGTCCAGGGAAAGGAGAAAGGATATATTCTTAACTGGGTTTGAGAACAGTTATCAGGAAAGACAACTGCTGCGTCAGACTTGACAAAATCTGAAAGTGTGGCTCACTTTCAAGAGACGAAAATGGGATCAAGCTATCCCAACATGCAATATAAAATTTAAATGTTATGTTTTAAAACCTAGCACATGATAGACAGTCAGCTTATTTTATTTTTAGTTTTTTTTTTTCGGTACCGGAGATTGAACTTGGGACCTTGTGCTTGCAAGGCAGGTAGCAGAAACACTGAGCTAAATCCTCAGCCCCTTATTTTGTTTTTTAATCACATATTTATATATAGAAATTACATAAGGGGTTCAAAATTATTTGAAGAAGGAAACAGAAAGGTGTTAGTTTAAACAAATGATTTTAATGCTCTAAGGAAAGAATGTAAAATGATTATTCTAAAATTGTGATAATGAGATGAACCATAAAATGACCTACTACACAGAACTACAGAGTTAATCAAGCCCAAGTCAAGGAAAACATATTAACTTTGTTTTAAGAGCTTTCTGCAGTCAAAGAACTTTGATCATTGAGGTTGGTATGAAAATGTCATTAACCTAAGACCAAACCAGTTACCATGGTTACCAGTTACTCCTGATTACCATCTCCTGAAGCATATGGTGCCACATTTGGTGCCACACTTAATGACCTTGAAGCCATTTTTAATTTACAGTCCACATTTCTCTTAAAAGAATATTGTCCTTATGGGGCAACAAAATAGTTAACCAAAATCTATCTCCTCAAAGAAAAAAATCTGAAGACTTTTGGTCTCAGAAGTGCTTATAAATAACACCAAATACACACTTCTCACTGCCGCTCCGAGGCCCGACAGCTCTGACAGTCTTCTGCGTGCGCTGCAAAAGTAGGATGTCCTCTTCCTCTTCCATCTCATCACTGTCCCACCGGCGACAACCCAAGGCAGAGCAGATGTACCTCACCTGGACAGAGAGACTGAAATTAGCATGGGATACGAGTCATGGGAGATCAGAGATTACATGCATGTCTATGATCTTTAAAAAGTTAAAAGGAAGTTAAAGGAATATGTAAACAGTAAAAAGTATAAATTAGATTACCAATTCATAAAATGAATTATTATTATTTTTTGGTACCAGGGATTGAACTCAAGTCCTTGTGCTTGTGAGGCAGGCAGCAGAACCACTGAGCTAAATCCCTGGGCCAATAAAATGAATTATTTAGAAACATGAAAGTACTGAAATATTTCAGGAAATGATTTTAAAGATTAGCAGTTTTAGCCTTATTTTGGGGTTTTTTTCATGGAACGTACAAAAAGAAATGGAGAATCACTTGTGATATTCTATTAACATTATTATTAAAATTGCAGTGAGTTAAAAAAATCAACTTCAGAATTCCATATAACAGAAGTATTTGGTTTTTTTGTTTTTGTTTTTTTAAAAAACTTGAACCTTTTCTAATAGCTTTCATACTTAAAAGCTTCTTTTTTTGAAGCTGTGTGTAGTGGTGCATGCTTGTAATCCTATCACTCAGGAGACTGACGCAGGAAGACTGCTGCAAGTTGGAGGCCAGCCTGGGCTCCATAGTGAGTTCAAGGCCAGCCTGAACTACATAGTGAGAATCTGTCTTAAAAAAAAAAAAAAAAGAAGTACCCGACACAGTAGACCATATTAATTCTCTTCCTCCTACTATTCTTGGCTCTGCTGTTTATTCTTACCTTACAACCTTACATATATTTTAGTTTCCTCTTTCTACCCATTGGTTCTGTTATGAAAACAAACATTAACCTCAGGAGAAAATTATACTAACACTTAACTACTAATAATGTGGCTTAGGAAATTTTCTTCTATCCCAAGTCACTTGAATTTTCCCTGAAGTACACTTTCACTCACCTTTCCATTGAATGCACTGAGTCCATATGTAGTGAGAGATTTTCCTCCAACCAAAACAACATCGTCTCCAAATTTATAAGAAGATTCAAGAAGGGATTCGACGGTGAAAGGAACGGCTTCCATGCTCTCCCGGTCTCGGTCCCACTGGAAGAGGTCTCCATCCAGGGAAGGAATGATCATCTTATTCCCAAATACCTAAAAGAGACAGCAGCTTTTATAAGGGTCATAACTTTAAGGGTAGTAGATAAGACTGGAGGCTTGAGCCTGATGTACTCCAGCCTCTCTGAGTGCCACATGAAGTAGCACAGTCCACCAACCAAGAGTAATTTACAACTCCCAAAGCTCCTAGGACTTACACACAACAGACTAGTTTGGCTTTCCTTAAATTCTGCCAAGGACTAACAAGATCTCATAATGACAGGTGAGTTACCAAAAGATAGTTTGGGGATCCAGGGAGGTCAAGAAGCAGTTACTACAGGAGTCCTTAGAACCACTGATATGTTCACATGCAGTACTGGGGGGAGGGCTGTTTTATTCAAGCCAATTAATGTCATAGACTCCCAACCCAGGAACACAGGTTTGGAGATGACTCATGTGAACCCCATCCCCACTTCTATATGCTCTCAAATCTGCCATGAGTCAGATGTCTGCCCGGTAACTAGGCTGAGTGACTGGTTTGTATTCTCCAGTGTCTTTCCTTCTCTAAACAATGCTTATAGAGGGCCACCTATGTCCAGGCATAGTCTGGTGGCTAAGAGAGATGAGTTGGCAGAACAATGAACAACTACTCTTCTCATGGAGCTTAAACACTGATGTCAGGAGACAACATAATAAACAAGATAGAGTATGGCAGGTGATAAGTGTCATAGGGAAAAAACTGAACAAGACAAAGAGGGACTGGAACACATACGGGGTTGGGTGGGGAGGCAAAACAGCTCAGGGTAGACCCTGCTGGCAAAGACCTAAACAGTAGAGAGTGAAAAAAAGGTCACTGGGGAGCAGGCTTTGCAAAAGCTTTTAGGGGGAAGTGTGTGACCCACTTCATGACTAGTGAACCACAAGGAAAGCGAATAGGCAGAGGTGACGGTGAGGGCAGGGAGTGGGCAGAAGGCAAGAGAGGAGCTGACAGCAGTGGAAGCAAGGAAGCTAGTGAGGGCTGGAATATAACTAGAAGGTAAAGCAGCACGCTTTGCCCCTGATGGTATGAATCAAAGTTAAGGAGACCAGATGACTCCAAGATTTCTGACCAAGAACATCTTGTTTCCGGAGTCAGAGTTTCAGTTTCTGTCTTTGCGACACTGGCCTTTGTTACTTAAAATAAAAATGTTTGACCCACTCTACTTAATGACACAAACATTGTTCTGATCATCCAGGCTCAAAACTTTGGGAATATGGAATATGAAAGAGGTGCATTTAAAAAATAATAAAAACAACCTCCAAATGATGACCTTAACTTTTTTCAAAATAAAATCTTCCTACGTACTCTTGTTGTTACTTAAGCAGCAGAATGCTTTCTTTAAAGGCCTACTGCCTTGAAAACTCCCAAACAGGCACTCACAATTGTGACTTTGTTCTCAACTCATACACTCTCCCCTTCCCCTACATGTGTCCCAAACCCTGGAGTTCAGGAACACAAGCTGAAAACCACTGCTCCAATTCATTCACTTCTTTCTTTCATATCCTGGTTCACATTCGTACTCTCTCTAGCCTGAACTACTATAACAGCCTCTGTATAATTCTTAAGTAGAAATTTTCCTCAATCTAAGCTCTAAGTATCTTCTTAGATTGCTTCTAAGCTCTAAGTATCTTCTTAGATTGCTTCTTTTTTTTTGCGGTACCAGGGATCACACTCAGGATGTTGCGTGTGCCAGGCAGGTGTGGTGCCACTGAGCTACAAACCCCTCCCTGCTTAGTATCTTCTAGAATAATCACACTCAGAGTTGAGCTTGTTATGATACTATTCAAAAGCTTCAATGGCTCTCTTCTTACCTAAGACCCCAAATCCTAAGACTCAAAATCCTTTCGAGGGTATACAAAGTTCTCTAAATATGACCTCAAAGCACCCTTCTATCCCTCTCTTTCACTTGTCCCTACATAGGCAGACATCAGGCATGGGTACTTAAACACATCACCTGGGTTAAGAGTTATGCCACTGTAAATGTCATTTTCTTCTGGAGCACTGTGGCACTGCCTATGTTTCTGCTTTGAATTAAGAAGTCTGACAGCACAAATTTACTAACGGAAACTTTCCTATTCAGCAATCTTCTACTTTTTGTGGTAATTAAAGCTGAGACAATATCTGTTTTCAAACACTGTCCACCTAAGGAATATTGATCAGGTCCAGTAAGGTCTGTACATCTGTGTTTATGCAGCAGCTGTTAAAAGCAATATATTCAAGGTTGATTTCAGGGCAGCGATAGTTACAAGGTAAGCATCTTATTATTCCAAAAAAGAAAGAAAGAAAAGAAAAGTAAGTATGAGTTCAAAAAGGATGGGGTACAACACTGGCCAAATCTGAGACAATTTAAGCACCAGAGTCATTAAGTATTAATTTTTAAAAATAGGAATTCTTGAGTCCACAGCAATAAAAAATTGATAAAGTAATAAAAAAGAAGAGAGAGCTGGAGCTGGAAAAATTAGCATTTTGCAACCATCACAGTAAAGGCTGGACCAGACAATCACAATGGTGGAACTTATGGAACACAATGAAAGCAGTCTTACAAGGCAAATATACAGCAGCAAATACCTATACCAGGAAAACAGAGCAAGCTCAAATAAACAACCTAATGTTGAACCTCAAACTTTTAGAAAAAGAGCAAGTCAAGCCCAAAGCTCATATGAAGGAGGAAATTACAGAGATCAAAGAAATTAAATCAGTGCAGACTAAAAAAACAATATACCGAATCAATGAATCAGTGTTGGTTCTTTGAAAGAGTAAATAAAATTGTCAAACCCTTAGCCAACCTTATTAAAAAAAAAAAAAGAAAGATTTGAATCCATGCATTTAGGAATGAAAAGGGTGAAATCACAAAAGATCCTGCAGAAATCCAGAAGATCAATACCTACTTCAAGAACCTGTATTCTAATAAGATGGAAAACACAGAAGAAATGGACAGATTCCTATTTACATATGAATTACCAAACCTGAACCAAGAAGATACAAAAATTCTAAGTAAACCATTATCAGCCAATGAAATTGAAGATGTAATTAAAAACCTACCAACAAAGAAAAGCCCAGACTCTGACAGATACACTGCTGAATTCTGCAAGAAATTTAGAGAAGACCTAATGCCACTAATTCTCAAACTCTTTAATGAAACTGAAAGGACAACAATACTCTCAAATTCATATCTAGAAGCAAGCATTACAATGATACCAAAACCAGAGAAGGACTCAACCAAAAGAGAACTACAGGCCAATCTCCCTAATGAACATAGACACAAAAATCCTTAATAAGATGACAAATAGAATGCAGCAAATCAAGGTTATACACCATGACCCAGTAGGATTCATCCAAGGGATGCAGGGATGGTTTGACATGTGCAAATCAATAAATGTAATACACTACACTGACAGAGCCAAGGACAAAAAACCGTATGATCCTCTCAACAGATGTAGATAAAAATCTGACTCATGATAAAAAAAAAAAATCCTACAGAAAATTGGAATAGATGGTGTTTATCTCAATCTGATAAAAGCCAGCTATGACATACCAACAGCCAAAATCATACTAATGGAAAAAACATGAAAGTTTTCACTAAAATCAGGAACAAGACAAGGGATGTCCACTGTGACCACTCTGATGTAAAATAGTTCTGGAAATACTAGCCAGAGCAATTAGATAAGAGAAAGGAATAAGGATAGGGAAGGAAGTTAAATTATCATTATTTGTACATGACACAATACCCCAAAAGTTCCACCAAGACTTCTAGATTTAATAACCAAATTCAGTAGCATAGCTGGATACAATGTGAACACTCAAAAATCAACAGCATTCCTGTACATGAAAAACTTATGGAGAATCAAGACTTGTCATGTAGAGGTACAAGATCCCAACAATGAATGTAACTGTACTGTATCCCTAAAATGTACCAATAAACTCAATTAAAGCTGAAAAAAAAAAAAGTTAAAAGAAACAGATTAAATATATTTAATTAATAATAAAAAAAAACTCACGGAGAGAGAAATTAGGGACACAATACCTTTCACAATAGTATCCCCCCCCACCAAAAAAAGAGAAAGAAATGTCATCCTAGGAATCAATCTTGTGTGGGAAGCAAAAGACCTCTACACTGAAAACCCCACTGTTGGTAAGAGTATAGACTGGTGCAACCACTGTGAATATCAATGTGGCAATTCCTCAAAAAACTAAAACTAGTAGTTCCATTTGACCCAGCTATTCCCCTTCTTTGTATCTTGCTGAAAGAATTAAAAGCATCACATCACAGTCATATATGCACACCTATGTTTATAGTGGCACAATTAGTAATAGCTAAATCTTGGAAACAGCCCAAATGCCCATTAACTGATGAATGGATAAAGAACATGTGTTTTTAAAAAATATAATGGAATACTACTCTGCCACAAAGAAGGATGAGCTCAAGACATTTCTAGGTAAATGGAGGTACCTTGAGACCACACTGTTAAGTGAAATAAATTGAACACATGTGTTTAAATATTGGACTGTTTCTCTGGTGTGAGAAAACAAAGTCGGAACTAATGTACAACAGACACTGGGAAATGGGAAGAAAATGCTCAACTGGGAAGGGAAATAAGGGGAGGGAGAGGAGGAAAGAAAGGAGAAGACAAGAAAGAAAGCAAAAACAGGAAAAAATGGAAACAAGGCTTTTGTATATAGGGAGGGGAGGGATGTTTGAGGGGAAGGAGAAAAAAAGAAGAGGCAAGATATATCATGTGTATGTGCAAACTCCCTATGATGAGTGTTATCATTATGTATATCTAAAATATACTAGCGGCCGGGGATTTAGTTCAGTGGCACTGCACCTGCCTGGCAAACTTAGGGTCCTGAGTTCAATTCCCAGTACTGTCAAAAAAAGAAAAAATCAGCACTAGTGCTAATTCTAGGTGGAAATTTTGATGAAGAACAGGATCTGTGCATAGTCTTTATCTCCCTACCGACTGCTTATCAGTTATAAGAAATTAAAAACAGAACGGTAATCCTACAGTGGAGAACT